GCAGCTGGCTGTGCCACTCCGCACACATTCATCCGGTTTTACAGTCTGGACCTTCCTTCTGCGCCCGGCACCCGAGCGCTCTCCTTTTAGTCGTGCCTATGGTTTACTGCACGCTGGGGCAGGCGGAGGCTTTCGGCGTGGAATAGTGGGTATCTCGTTCCCATAGTGTCGTCACCAACGCAGTTCAAGTTCCCTCGAAGGGGAAGGGGAACGAGACACTGCGTTGGTCCGCCACGCTTTGCCCCGCCTGAAGCGCCTTGCTTCATAGCAAAAGCTGGTTTGTCCTGTGTGCCGGTGTGCTTTATACGCCTCCAGTTACGCCATCCCGACTGCCGTTCGAGCAACGCCAATAGGATTGGAGTAGTTTGATTCATAATTCAGCCCTGCCACGCCTAGCAATAAATAAATAAGGTAATTTATATAATTAATATAACAATAAATAAATAAGGTAATTATTACAAAGGTGAATAAGTAAAGAAGCTAATTAAAATAGATATATACATTTGTCTCCTTGTATAATTTAACCTACATTTATTTATTTACTTTATTTTTTTGTGCATTTAATCGGATGCTTATTTATTTATTGAGCATTTATTTATTTATGTATTTATTTCTGAATTTGTCAGGATCAGTCCTCCATACACAGCAACGTGAAACTTACAGAAAGAAACTCCAGCAGCTACTGTCACTGATGGTTGGACTCGTCAGTGCTCTTATAAACAGGCTACATGTGCAGAAAAACTATAGTTGAAAAGCCGGGATTTACTTGCTTTATGTTTTTTATTTCAGCCGGTGGTGTTAGGAAACGTTAGGCCTAGGCTATATGCTTTGTAAAAACCATACTCCTTGCTGCTGTTATGAATATGATATTAGTTAAAAAGTCGGAGAGGCTGCTTTGTTTGGGGGTGAAGGGGGGTAGTAGTGAAAGCAGTGTTATATAATTAGCCCATAATTAGCCCATAATTAGCCTATAATTTGGATAATTATCAACGCTGACCTCCACACTTTTCTCATTTTTTTACTAGGCCTATTTAAAATAATATTTGATTGAGGAGCTAAAATGTAAAAATATAAATGTGTGTGAATGCGATGTACCATAAAAGCGCTTTGAGTTGAGTCTAGACTAGAAAGGCGCTATACAAATACAAAGTATTTACATTCTATGGTAATGGTCCCCCTAAACATTTCCAGAATGTCCTGAATGTTCCCTGAAGGTCTTTAAAGCCCCCCTCCAGTGTATTTTGACATTTCTATGATATATCACATTTTTCTGAGTCATTTCCTTACAATGTTGATTACCCATATAGTTTGCCAAAGATTTTTTGACAAATAGCTTTATTTTGTGCTCAAAGTTTCAAAAATTGCTTAGTTGCTAAAACGGGGTGGTGACGTATGACTATAGAAATTCCATAAGTCATACGTCATTCTCCAAGCTTGCGCAGGTGCACTGTCACATAAAAAAACCTGTCACGCTGTAATGCCTCGTTAAGTCAGAGCATCAAACCGATAAACATCATTGTGAGCTAGCTAACTCCACATCAACCGTCTGGGAACGTTCTTGGATCATTAGATGGCGACATTCTTGATACCAGAACGTTCTGGGAACGTAAAATTTCTAGCGAGGCAAGGACCAGTAGAGGTGGGGAAAATCTGAAAAAAAAATTAGTTGGTGGGGGGTGGGAAGATGATTTATGCATACATGATTATTCAGACATTGTCAGAACCGATCTGCATCATACCAATTCAGCTGCTATAATCGTGACAAAACAAAATAAAAAGCTGCCAACGTCAAATTATTATTAATTATTAGTAATATTAACCAGAGCATCCTCCGCATTCATTACTAATCTGCTGTATTTTATGTTACCATATAGTAATAATAGCGCCCATTATGTAGTCTGCAAATGTCATTCCAACAGTCCTGTGATGAGATACATTTTGCCTAATGCATGTTGTGAAAATTAGTATACCAAGATTTCCCTTTTTATTTTATGCAATTTTAGAGCCAAGCAGTGGTGAAGAAGACCATGCCAGTAGATTCTTAACCAAAGTGCTTTGCCCACTGCCTGGTTTAAGCCTTCATTGTGCACACACACACACACACACACACACACACACACACACTATTAAACACTCTCTTAAAAGAAACAAAAAAATCTGGACCTCACTAATTTCTAAACTCTGGTTACGGCCCTGTTCCTGAGGGGAGCTCTGTGTGTGAAGCATGAATGTATTTTACAATATAATGTAAAATACATAATATATTTACATTGTTACATTTATTAGATGGCAGACTATGTGAGTATGAGCCTGATTAAGTGTGAGAAACAGGAGGCATAAATATAAATGTAATATTGAAGGCTCAACTCCTTCACCATTTGTCTGTTGCAACAGCTGTGGATGTCGGACACTTGGCTGGAGAAACAAAAACCTTATTCACTAACACACTCCTCCTCCGTGGGGAAAAGATTCACAGCACTGGATAAGGGTGAGGTGAAAATAAGACAAGTAAGAAATACTGAAGTTGACTCCCCTCTAGGGTTGGACAATTCTACATTCATCATCCTGGGGTCACACATTCTCCAAATGTGCATTAATCCACTGGTGAATATAGTCCCTAACAAATTCACTATCTACTCCTGTCTGAGTGACGTTACAGTACAGAAAAGTATAGTGGCCAGCTGTTTAAGGAAATTAGAGAGCATTTTTTAAACATGAAACTAAACATTTGTTTTTAACAATTTATGTCTTTATGAGGAACTAATGTGATTGGGGCAACAGACAGGGTAGGAAAGTCACAACACATTGTTGGTTTTGGTCTTTCCATGGACTTTGTTGACAATAAGAAAATATAGAAAAAATTGTGTGTGGGTTTCTAAAGCAAGCACAACTTCAACTTCAGCATTTCAGTTTCTCAAGTGTCTTTGAAAACAGCTCTGACAATGAAGTTACAGTATGTTGTAACTCAGTAAATCATGACTTGATGATCTCTGGTAAACTGCAAATCCAGATTACTCCCCTGACATATTTTTAGAGACTGCTGCATTTATTCATGCAGGAATGTGACTGTAGAAACACTTATATATGGCTTTTCTGTCTCATCCATAACTGTGCAGTGTCACATCGAGGAAATTCTCCTAATGATGTTTGGATGACTCTCATCACAGGCCAAGCGCTCTGTCATCCTCTTGCCGACCAGACCTGGGTCATGTAGAGGGTTGCAACCCTCAAGCAGTTGATTCATCCTGCACGAAGGGGTGGGGTTTGTCATAAAATGGGCAAATTAAGAGAGAGGTCTAAAACGAATGATCTTAAGTGGATTAATGTTGTTATGTCACATTTAAATTGCTGCAACATAAACTGCTTTGACAACATTGTTTAAATGAAACAGTCATGCCAATAAAGCACACTGAACTGAACTGATTATTACACTTTCAGACATCTAAGCTCAGCTCTTGTTGAATTATTCAATACTAAGCCCCATTTATTTTGTACTTTACATCATGTCAAACAGACTGTTCACTTATCTTTCCTTTCATCATGGCACAGCTGCTGCATTAGAGGGCAGGACGACAAACCATCAGGAGGAAAGTGAATGTAACAACAAGGTATGTCACTTTGTCTGTTGTTGAAAGTGAGTTGTCCTACTGGATCTACAAAAAGGTGAAATTCATTGTTGATGAGAACTAAATTGTTCAATTATACAGCAGAAAGTAGCGGAATTTTTGCATAAGAATAATCAAATTATAGTTTTAGTTGTTTAATGTATACAAAAATTAAACTGAATTTGGCAGTGCCATTGTATCATATTACCCCCACAAAAAAGGTCAGGGGAAACTTTAAAGGAGCAATGTGTAAGAATTTAGACTACTCTCCAGCAGCGTAACTACAGTATATTCAGGGAATGCAGTTGCATAGAGGCCTGCAGTAGTTGCAATGCCTGAATTTAAGTGAAGTAATCTCACAATGTAAACTGATACTCTATACAAACAACTGATTTTATTTGGAGTCGCAGTAGGTATTTATAGTAGTCAGTGAGTTAAGCCTCTTACTATATGGTGTCTCACACTTGATGTTACTCATATATATATATTCATTCATAGTCATTCATACATACATATATATATATATATATATATAAATAATATAATTCTGGGTAATATTAATTGACTTGCGCACAGGTATTTGTGCACCTAGGAACACTACCGAACCAGCGGTATCGATGACCCGGGCCAACGATCCCACTGAGGTTAAATAGCTGAGTTTCCCTGCCAGTCAGTCAGAACTGAAGAAGTCCTTTGGATGAGGGACGAAACGTCTTCCAGTATCTTCAACCAAGTCCAGTTGCCCTTGATTTTAACCTTCGTTGGATACACCTATTTAGCTCACCTTTTTTGTCATTACTGACCAAAGCATTTCTCCAGTTTTGTGTTGAGTATTTGACAGCTAAAACATTTTTTTCTACATTTTAAACATAATTGTAATCATTGTTCTCATTAAATATTACTAACTTGTCTGTAAAAAACAAAATGTTATTTGTTTATGCTTGAATCCAATAATGTTTAAAGCAGACATACATGCAAAATAAAGGATCATCTAAAAATTGTCTTACTTATCTTGTATATACATGCATGGTCACACACATATATTCTACAAGTCTAGCTGCTGTTCATGACTACAATAGTGTCTTATCACCATCTACTGACCAAAGATGTGTATGTGCACCATTATAATCAACTATGATGATTAAAACAAATGGAAACCCTCAGGGCCTGTGGTGAATACCGCCAACTAAAGGGAACACAACATATATGCCTCATATTTTCTTCAATACATTTTCTGTAACTGATGTGCAGGGAGCATGCTTTCAGCCTTTTTCTCCATGCCCTTTTTAAAAAACCCCATTTTAAACGTTTGGCTTTAACATTTTTTCACATTTTTTCGGCAAACTGACCCTTTAACAGAAACACAACAAACAAAAGATAAACATGAGAATGTGGAATATTTTGCATCATTATGTACAGCGGTTTTATTTGTGATTTCCCCAAAACATTATCAGTATTTTACTACATACAATGCATGTAATCAAAGTACAATGGATCAACTTCAAAGACAAGAAGAGCAAAAAGAAAAGAGCAACATAAAAAAACAGGTGGTGATTTTGACCACAAAGAGAGACATTGGTTAAGATACTATATGTATAACACTATTTCTTCTATACATAGGGCTACTGATGGTGCCATCAATAGCGATGCCATGGCAACTGTATGTTGAAAAAGTTTCTGCTAGTTCTGGTGAGTTTCACTGCATGGTGGTGTGCATGTGTGAAGGTAAAAGTACTTATTTTGGGACTCTGCTGAGATCAACTACAATTTTAAACTTGTTTTTTTCTTTTGTTCTCCTAATGATGAGAATAGTTCATCCTATGGGAGGTCACAGTCTGCTAGACATTCTTAAAAATAAACTTAAATTAAGTCAAATGAAACAGTTAAAAAGGTGCATTAGACTCTGTTGCATCAGCACAACCAGTAAGAATTTAACTTGAAAAGACATTTTTTAACCAGGTAGGCATCATAATAACCAACTGTCACTGAAAACTATAACTATAAATATAATGTCATGAAACACTATAATAGAAGTACAGATTGAAACAAAAGAACCAGCAGAAAAACACTGACTTAGCACATCCTTGTCAGAACATGCACCTCCCATGAGCTTGTTTACTCATAAATCCGATACAACAATTGCAGAAACTAACAAATGTGTCAATATGAAGAAAAGAAAAAACAGTTACTGAAACTAAATGAAACTATCTTAACATCAGCAATACAGGCAGACAGGCAGTCCTGTATTCTGGTTTAAAACCCCTGATATTGTCCCAAAATAAGGCTGTGGGTTCTAGGCACACCAAGGTACAACTGAGCTGAGCAATATGTGCATTTTTTTTCAAAGACATGAAACTTTCTGCATGTTCTGAATTAATTAATGTTCAATTTATTTCTAACCATCTGGCTAGCCCAGGTCTTACTACAAAGATTAGAGTTTTTAAAAAAGAAGAAAAATATAGATGATGACAACATAATTTTTTAGATATCACACAGCATTTAGACACAAAAACACAAGTGCATTATTGGCAAAAACTGCTGGTGAGGGAGAAATAAGTGCACACATGTGTGTGTTTTGTGAGTGTGTCTATCTGAGTGTGTGTACTGTGTTCGGTGTCAGTATGAGTGTATATTTGCCTGTGAGCACAGTTGTTTAAGTGCTTGTGTGAGCAAGCGCATATTTAAAGAGGTAGCAGAGAAATGCAATCAGAGCAACAGGTGACAATCTGTCTCGAATGACAACCATCTGTTCGTTATGACAGTAGAAAAGCCAACTTTCTATCTACTGCTCTCCTACGGTTCAAACACGGGTGACAATATTTCAGTATGAGCCACAGGCCTTAACTGAGACCACTTCAAACTGATATCTACTCATAAATCTGTTGATTTAATTTTTTTTGCGAACATTTAATTAACAAATATGCTTCCTAATATTTATTTCATTTTTTTGCTATTAGCTAGTACACAAATTGGGTGTTTTTCCAAGTGAAAGTCAAAATCTATGTCAATGTCTGTCAATTTCTGCCCAAAGCTTTGCATCAACAGCAGCTGGTGGATATAAATGAAACTTAAGAAGTATTAACTTCCACATGCTGTGAGCTGAAACACAGGTCATTGGTTGATAGCATATACTCTGAAGGTCTGGTTTTCTGAAACGAGTGAAAGCAGCAAATAAACAAAGGATTTAAAACCAGAGGTAGTGGGAGTTAGAAGAAGGCAGAGTGGAAAAGTAGAGTACATAAAATACACACTATTTGGATCTAGAATATCTAAATGGGATCCCAATGTTACAAACCCTAATCAATTTGAGGAAAGCTACTGCTAGAGACAAACACAGACAAAACCTTCAATAACAAAGCCAAGCTGACAGAGGGACACCACTGGTAATGGGTATTAAGTCCAGGGCCACAGCCACTACTTTTTACATTTTAGATGTTAGGACAGAGCGCTTATCAAAGTCTAACTACCACTTCCCTTTTCTAAGTAGGTATAAATCTATTCCAAGACCTTCATCCTTGGTCTTAACAGTTGTGTTTAAGCTGAAAGCACTTACACAAACCTAATCAAGAGGTTTTTAACTGTGCGACACCAATCCAGCACTTTTAAGTCGGTGGAGTCCCATCAGACAATCACAACAATCACAATACCTGTTTAGTAGCATCATCGCATTTTATAGACATGGCTAAACTCAAGTAGGACCGACTGCCTTCTGTTTCGCAGAGTCAGGCTGTATTCCAATTTGTTGATCATATCTGAAATTTGTGGCTCATCTCTATTCTAGGATTCTCTATATTAGACTGCCTGAAAAACTCAAGCTAGCAGAGCTAGCAGAGCTGAAGAGTCCCTTCTGTTTTTTTGTCATCATTTATGGAAATATGCTTATTTGTTTTCCTGCAAGTTAGCCAACAAGAACAATACCACTCTCATGTCTCTCTAGCCTAGCATAAAAACTGGAATCAGAGGAAAACAGTTACCTTAGCTCTGCCCAAGGTTAAAAAATGCTTACAAGTGCTTCTAAAGCTTACTAATGAGCACATTATATCTTGTTATATAATTCATGCATATTTGTTAATGTGTTAATTAGTGATCTTGAGGGACAGAGTCAGGCTAGCTGTTTCAACTGCTTCCACTTTTAAGGCTAAGCTAAGCATCTCCTGGCTGTAGCTTCATTCATTTCACCGACTGACATGAGATTATAAGGGTATCAACTTCTCATCTAACTCTGTAAGAAAATATTGTTCCCAAAATGTTGAACTAGTTCTTTAAGCCTTTGACATTTTTCTCTCTGGTTTAATCACATCTAATTCATTGTCTCTTTATAAACTAGGTTGATAAACTTACACTTCTCAGTTACAAAATAACCCAAAACACCAATCAAGTAAGCTATCGTGGCCTTTTTTCTGTTGTATATAATTGTCTTGCATGCTAAAACTAACTCAGCTAGCAGCATTAACGTTTGTCTTTGTTCTGAAGATACAAGTTATATATATGTATATATATATATATATATATATATATATATATATATATATATGTGTGCGGAACGTAGAGGTAGTATGTTTGGTTAAACGCAGCGCCAAAGCTTAGCGGCAAGCCATGTGTTTGTAGAGACAGACAGACAACAAAGACATAAAATACAGAATGAGGCAGAGATGAGGATCAAGTGAGTAAAGCAGAGAAACATTTAGAAACATTGGGATCCACTCATATACTGACTGGTCAACTGGCAAGAGGATTCTACTGGACAATCTTCTGCTTTATACAACTGGCAACTAGTTTACTGTATGTTTGACTTAAAAACACTGGTTGCTGAGGACAGAGTTGTGTTGTGTCTCTGTGAGTGTATGTCTGCGGTATGAGTTCATGTTTGGTTCCCTTAAAGGCCATCGTGAATAGTTATCCTGTAAAATATTGAGGTATCTGTTAAATATTTCCAGCTGAGTGAGGTTTCTGTATGTAAGGCTTCTGAGGTGGAGCTGCTGACCTGGGATGAGGGGAGGAGGGTTAAGAGGGGAGAGTCTGCGACCTTGATTGGGTTCATTTGAGCACTAATGGTCTCTCACATCAGCTACAAGGCTCAGTTAACCATTAGTGTAAATATTGTAAGCCAGATCTGTCTTACAGGCATATAACATTCTCCATACAAGCCAAAATGTAGCCATTATCCACAGAAAATCAACGTAATGTCCAACAGCAGCATAACAAAATTAAATAACTGATGTTTCACTCTCAGAACCCTTGAAATGGACCAGACTCTCACCCCATCACCCTGTCCTGCATTGAAACAGACGATGATGTTGAATGTAAAAAGTCCACTCTTGTATATTTCAACACCTATTCTTAAAGAACAACAATGATTTGTAAAAAAAAATAATCTGAATTTCAAGAGCTGCGACACGAGAGTAGTGAGAAAGGTGATGTCACACTTTGGGTTTAGGAGGCAACATCTCGTCAGTCACTGCACACTCTGCCTGTACAGCATGTCATTACATCTGCGATTCTCATTTTAAAAATACTTTATCTCCTAGTATCTTCTATACAGATTCTACACAGTCTTCTGGGGGTCCAATCTAAAGGTTCACTGGGTCAAACAGGACAAAGGAGTAATTTCTGCATTGTCTTTTACACAGTAAAGTGACACGGCTGATTCCACAGCAGCTGTTCCCCTAAATCTCAAAATCCCGTCAGTCCTTGATGCACCACAGTTTTCTGAAACCAGTGCCTGACTGGCTGCTGAGTTAAAGCTATGAAGAGTAATCCTGCTGTAATAGGCTATTGCAGAAGAAGAGGTGGTTAGATGTCGGGGTGATGAATGAAGAGGCACGCGCATGCTGTTGCTGCAATAGCTTGCCATTGGCTAAATCCTGTGTCAGTTGAGGCAGTATTAGTTCATGATGACTTGATTGTGTTTGACATCCTGCTTCTGGAAAAGCAGATGTAGCTTCCTTTTTACAGAGCCTGGGACTGCCTTTCCATTGACAATGAAAAGATTTTGCTCCACTGTGTTCTTTCTCCTCTGGTTTCCATTAGAAAACGGAAGGGGAATGTGCCAGTGTCAATTCCCTGTCCAAACAAGAAGTGAAGCCACATCAATGGGTTATTCCCTATTCACTCACTTGAAATCAAGGGACCAAGGGAAGGGGAACTGGTTCATTTGCACTTGGAAAAGGCTCCAGGAGTCCACCATGCTCATCTATGCTTCATTAAATGATGACTCAGAGCAGCAAGCCAAGCACTAGCTAGACAGCAAACTCAAATTAAAATTGACAATCTTATAAAGAACAAAAGAATCTGATTTTCACCAAAATAAAAATATTATGGATATACTATATAATTGTCAAAAGCTTATTGATAGACTTTAGAAAGAGAAGGAAAGATTAAAGACATACATCCATAAGCTTCGAATGGACAGAGAGGACACTTCCTGGTAAGAACATCCTCAGTTTTTGGGTGCATTTCATAGACTGCCGGAGAGTTAAGGATGTTCATACTGAGGTTTTGGGTGTAGATCGTGCGTGAGACTGAGTTGGAATGCTCAACACAACCACCACTGGGAATTTTGAGTCACAAGAAGTCTTTGTTTATTATTATGATTCTGATTATTGTTATAACACATCAGATTTCTGAGTCCCATCGTTGTCCAAGTAAGAGCATCATCCAAAATGGATGGGTGGTCTGTGAAACCTGCTCCTTTCTGTGGAAACACCTAAAATCAGTATTTGGTTTTTATGGAATTGGTCAAATTTGCTGAATTTTGGCTGCCAAAAGTAAAAAAATATCAAAAAATTATACTGTTCAAACCCAAATCTGTCAGTCTACTTTAGTGCACCCTGAAGCAACCCTACTTGACCAAGGTGCCAACTCTGTCCATTCTAGTAGAATACAATATAAGAGTCCATCTCCTAATTGCATATAGTGCTGTATATCCAGAGCATCTTGCCATCAACAATTTAATTATCTTAGTATTTTGCCTACATTATTCACTAACTATGTACAGACTTAGCAAGTGGTATTTACAAAGTTTGTCCACAAGGGGGTGTTCCAGGCCTGCGTGAGGGATGAGCACTATGTCGACAGAAACATGATATGATATGTAGTGATGTTGAAAACATCCTAAACCTCGCTTATGTGGCTGGTGTTGAAATTATATAAATGTGACAAAAGGGTATGAAGGCTTGATATTATATTTAATATAAAAAGTTATTTTATAATACTAAGGGCATCTGAAGGATTTCATTCCAAAAACACTATAATCTGTACATTGTTTAACCACTGTACATTGCTACCATCTGCAGATTATTCATGTTGCCCTAAAAAAAATTACCTAAACTCAAGGCTGAAAGGAATCATTCAACACAGATGACTCAGATTGATGGGTATGTCAACTTTTACCGCTAATGGATTGTATAATTATGCAAGCCATTTCATAAGAGGAGTTTTTAATTAAACACATAAGCTTAGTAATGAAAATTTCGTAGTATTTAATATTTCAAAAAGTTCCACTTTTAGCTTACTTATGCTGTTATTTAGTATGATTAGAAATCACAGTGATGCCTAGAGTTTCAAAAACAATCTCTGTCTTATGATTGTAAGCTCACGCCACACACACCATAAACATCAAGTACACAATATCATCAGACAAACTTTTCCCTGAGGCAATAGCCGGCAGTTGGTTTCTGTCCAACTATCTAGCTCTAACTGTCTAAGCAGCAATTTAAAAAGCCGGACAAATATTTTTGGATAATCCCTATCTACAAAACATGACATTGTGTTTGCGTATGCCAGTCTACAAACTTCACAGGTCCAAAAACGACAAAATCCAACAGAGAAGTGTGTCCCTGCACTAAACCCTCAGTCAGAGCCTGTACACACACCCCCTTGTGGCCCATTAATATTCTCATATACTGTACACACATCACAAAAATAAAAGGACTCCTCACACGCTTTTCAGTGCTTTCTTATGTGCGTATGCATGTGTCTGTGTGTACATTTGTCTTTTGAACAACGACACACACACACAAACACACACACACCTGAGGAGGAACATCAAATCCTCTACATTATAACACTCTTTGCTTCCATGGAAGCAACCATGTTTCACTCTCTTAAATATATATATTTATATAAATCAGCTTATACGTATCATTTATATTTATATAGCATTATACATACATTCTTGTTTTGTAAAATTCCTTTTTATCCTGTGAACAGGAAATTCCAACCATATCTCCCACCATCTATCCAACACGGCTACCTCCTCCAAATCTCACCTTTCTCCCCACCATTCCCATGCTGTAATATTCCCACTTAAACTTTCTTCGTTTCAGCTGGCCATCTGAGGCCGTCTGAATCACAGACACAGAAACAACACAGATACATAGGGCTTAAAAGGAAATCACACCTGCTAGATTTCCATCTTAATCCGGGTATTTTAAACCAGTAAACTAACTATTTCCATTACATTGTTTTAAGGTTGCCCGTGGCTGGCCATGTTGACGCTTAATATATTTGGATGTCTTTGCTGCCAATAGACTGTAAATCAACAACATAACTTTTATAGCTATCCAACACTTGTGTAGTAACACTGCTACTAATTTATCTGTACCTCACAAGTGCCATCATGGTTAATAGATGTAAATGTGTTTATCTATTCCGGTCTTTCATACCGATGATGCAATCATGGAGCAATGTTATGAGGATGATGGTAACAGGGATGTGACAGTCACATCCATCAAGCTGTCACCACTGTGAAAAAATTGGCAGAAATCTAGCAGTGATGTTTGGGGAAAGGTGGTGATGAGAAAAGGTGATTTTTCGATTTTGTGGATGTTGAGAGGAGGAGGATGTCTGTCTGTTCCAGATGTGTATGACTCAGGATATCTGCATGATATCATGAAATTTAATGTGGTACTGTGTTTGCAAACCCAGAGGTAAGAATATATTCCGGTTATCGAAATGCTGCTAAATTCCACAGCATATTCAGGGTAAATCCAGAGGTCCAGGTATGTGAGTCTTGCTGCCTGAGGTCCGAAGGAAGATGAGGATGTGAAGATGATAAAGAGGTGAAGGTTACTGTCTACCCATCTGATAGCCATCTTTCTCCCACACGTCCAGGTATATCAGGGCTGGGGTTTTCTTAGGGAAAAGCCAGGTAAGGGTCGCTGATGATTAACCCTGTGTGTGATGAGTGTGTACGTGCGAGTGTGCCTCCTCCTCTGCTATGACACCTCGCTGCCAAACACTTCAAGCACCAGCGGGGTGAGCTGCATGCTGTGTTCGGGCTGGAAAGAGAGCGAGCGGTACTGCTTGGAGTGCTCCTCGTTCAGGCTGCGCAGGTCGGCCAGCTTCTGGATCATCTTGGCGTAGAGGAGGCGTCCGCCTGCGTGGTTGACCCGGATGTAGGCCTGCAGTGTCTCTGACAGACGGTCCTGGAGCTGCTCAATGCGGCCGTGGTCTTGGACACCGGGACGATCTGCCATCGGAGAAGGTGCAGAGTAAGGAGCATGTGTATGCCCATGCCCATTATGAGGTAACAGAGGAGGTAGGCAAGTGGACAGGCAAGCAGATTCAGTTATGGGCACAGAGAGAAAGTAGAGGAGAGTGAGAGGGAGTGATTGGACAGAGAGAGAGAGAGAGAGAGAGAGAGAGAGAGAGAGAGAGAGAGAGAGAGAAAAAAGAACGTCAGTCAGAGCAGTTTGTGGTTTTGTCTTCCGAACTGTTGCCAAAAAAAGTTGCATGTTTACTGATCACACAACATGCACTTTATTATAATACTGACTGGCTACACTAAACATTATATGTACACTTCCAGCACAAAATATAAAAACATCAACATCAAACTACTTAATTTCTACTTTCTTAATTTAAGAAAATGTTTAGAAAATTATCATATGATAGGGCAGTCCTCAACTAAAGATTTACATAGTCGAATCAGAATTGTCAAGTCTTGCTGCAAGCTGCAGAGCAACAGTCTCAATTTATTAGGCACTGAAACTTACACTGTACATTTCCAGCTAAACTGAGGCTACTCTTGACCCTTTTCTCTCTGCTCTGCTCACCTGCCTTTCACCGGTCTTGTGCCGAGATGTGCATGCTCGCATAGAATTCGGCCAAATATAAACTACTATATTATGTTCTTTGTGTGGTTCATCAATGGTGATAAATGATTCAAACGTCCCGTGAAGTTCACACTGACATAGCTGGTGCTCTGTCTTTCTTCCTATTCTACCACACACATGCTACACCACACATGTGCACTGACGCCCCCTTCCTTAAGGGTTAGAGTTAAGAATTTTGGATTTATTCACACACAAAAAAATCATTAAAAAGCTTCTTTCTTTTCACACTTTTATTTACAGCATTATATGTTAATATTTGTATCATAATAGGCTATATTTTTAGTTATTGGGAGAAAATGGGTAGTTCTATCTAAAATCAGACATTGAGCACCCCGATACAGCCTAAATGGTATGATCCTCGTTTCACAATGCAGCTGCGAAAATTCGAATGTGAGATTGGCAGTAGAATCAAGTTCCTTCTATTGAAGCATCGAATCTTCACCTATTTGGGGTCACCATTATAATATATTAAGATTTATATTTGCCTATATTTGTTTACATTTTGGTGAATCACTTTGGAAATTCATGCAACATTGGCTACAACCAATTACATCTGGTAGCAAATGATTGCTGTAGAGACACAATCAATTCTATTCATGGATTTATATGCAACAGATATAGAAGACATTACTATTATTGGAAAAAGCCTGTAAGGTGTCTGTGTGTTTCTTTCAAGATTGACACAAATTGCATCAACTGGTTCACTGACTCACAACAGAGGTAGATAGTGGAAACAAACAACTACTGAATTTTTTGAGATGAGAATTTGTTAATGAGTCACCATCATCTATTCTTGAAGTGGCCTTGCTGGCCTTATTGAGTGATTCTGTTCATTCACTGTTTTACCTTGTCATTGAAAGCTCACAAACATTTCCAACATTGTGTTATAACTTCATACTTTGATCTGTTGTACAGAATGTTTTGTTTCTAAAAATCTCTTTTTCATGTGTTACTGGCAGCATCAAAAACACCAATGTTTGGGTGAATCAAGCTCAGCAAGGCAGAAAAACCCTGTGCTACACTGCTACTTTTCTGACATGGTGTGTCATTGCTCATCTGGAAATGCACCTACGCCATGAAGACACAAGTTAACACACAAACACAAACATTACCTGGGGAGAGCAGGCAGATGGCCATGAGCAGCACATGTTCCTCCTCATGCAGATTGAGTTTCTTCAGACCAACCTGGAACTTCACCAACGGCTCCAGCAGCTCCAGAGTGTGCCCCGCTATGAAAGATGACATAAACATACAGTTAGTACTGCAGAGTCAGTTACACCTTCACGCACTAGGCAGAGAACCAAAAATTATTTTCTATTTACTTATGAATGAACACACACTTTTACAGCGGTGGGCTTGAAAGAAAAATCATTACTCTCTATGCCTATTTATATAATGCAGAAAGACAGGATTACTTCCTGCCCTGCGTTTGTGGCTGCTTTATTGCATCCATGAAAAAAATGGTCAAAGTCAAAACCTGATAGTAATATGCAAGTGTGCATAGAAAAGCACATTGTGATCCTTCAAAGACACCCTTTTATAAAGTGGGAGAAAATAAATCACAGCTGTGTCATCAGCTCCTACAATGAACACTTTTCTCTCCTTGAGAGGAAAGGCTTGTTTTATCAATGGAATGCTTGATGTCATGGCCTTCATGAAAACATCCAGAATGGATACACAAGGAAGACGAGGAGTGTGTTTATACTTGGGAGAAGCAAGCAACCAACCCTTTGTAACATCATTGATGCAGTATTTGAAGTCGGGTCCTCCACAGCTCCAGGACATGTCCTCCAGACTGAACGACTGGTTTGAACGCAGCATGATGATCTCAATGGCACTCGACTTCAACAGTGCAATCTGGTCTTCTGCTGTTAGCTCTCTGGAACAGATACAGTTCAGATACAGTATACATATATTATGTATACACACACACATACACACACAGCTAATCAGCCATCACATGGCAACAATTCAATGCATTTAGGCATGTAAATGTCAAGACAACTCGCTAATTTAAGTGACATGGTCTACTTGACCAGAGAATGGTCCGAAAAAGAGAAAATATCCAGTGAGCGTCAGTTATGTGGATGAAAATGCCTTGTTGATGTCAGAGGTCAGAGGAGAATGGGCAGACTGGTTCAAATGATGTTACAACCAAGCTATGCAGAATACCATCTCTGAATGCACATGACTCCTGGAGCCTTTTCCAAGACATGAACATGTCAAACCCTGGTCTGAAGAGTCTCAATTTCAGCTGCGACATTCAGATGGTTGGGTCAGACACAGAATTTGGAATAAACAACATGAAAGCATTGATTCATCCTGCCTTCATGTATCAATGATTCAGGCTGGTGGTGTGTAATGGTGTGGGGGGATATTTTCTTGGCACTCGCATGGTCGTCGCATGGTGATGATGCGCGATGGGCCGTGACGCGATCGTGACACAATCATGACGCGAGCGTGACGTGGTGGCCAGAGGTCGGGGACGCACCCTGGATCGTCGCGTGTTTTGGACCGGTCAAGGACTTACTTCCTGTTTCCAGTGGGTGGCGTGATGACGTTGAGTGAATATTTGCATGTAGATATGTTCAGGGAAGGACAGGGAAGTTTTGTACAGATCTGAGCATGTACACTGAAGTTATTATAACTTCCTGCTAAATGGCAAACCATCAATCTTTGACGCCACACCACGGACATGCCCATGGACGAAAACTCACAGACAGCACAAATTTTCATGGTTGTGGTGTCCGAACAATGCTGCGATGATGTGTTGAGAAGAAATCCGCTTGACACTGTTCTTGATCATAAAAGGTTATTACATCAAGGAGTTCAGCATCAATTACAAGCTCTGCAGCAGCTTGGAGAGTGACCCAGCCCGATGGCCACTCTGTCTTTCCGTACATCAAACATCGCTTATATATGGTCAATGCATTCAGAATGCACAGTAGAAAACTGAAGTCGATCCGATTAATTACCTAGCAGGAGTTCGTTAAAGTACGTAGTATAGTAGGACCTTGTAAAAGGCCATAAATGGGCTGAAATCGCACAATCAAATCAGAATGGCTGACTTCTTGTCTGCATCTTGGTCATTCAGGGGTGAATCGTTGAGGTTGAGTGAATTTTGACCTGTAGATGTGTTCAAGGCGTGGACCTTATGAAACGTGTGAAATTTGATAGAGATACGAGCATGTACAGCAAAGTTACAAGACCTTCCTGTGTCAAGGCGAAGCACTGAACTTTGACGCCACGCCAAGGCCATGCTGTTATCCGAAAACTCACAAGATTCACAGCACAGCATCATCAATGTCCTAAGGCGCTTCTGAGACTGTTTTGAAGCAGGTGTGGCAAATATGTTAGAAGTAGTCCAAAACAGCGTGAAACTTGACACTTCCTGTTGCCAGCAGGTGGCGCTATGACATTGAGTGTTTGTTGGCATATGGATGTGTTCAGGGTGGGACTGTCATCCTACACGTAAAGTCTGGTGCAGAGGTGAGCATGTACACTGAAGTTATAACAACTTCTGCTTTCATGGCGATTCATCAATTGTCAGAGCCAAAACTCACATATCGTCTTACACAATATTATTATTATCATTATGTAACACAAACAAAAGCAGAAAATCCTCACATTTTAGAAGCATTGTATTTTGTTGTTTTCAAGCATTTTTGCTTGAGTAAAGACTCAAACAATGAATCTGTTATCAATATAGAAGATTTAACGACTCATTTTAGATGCATTAGGAAATGCACCAGGAAAGTTGACATTGTGTGACACATGAGTTATTGCTGTAACTCAGAATTCTGAATCAAGGTCTACCAATAGTCATTTTTAGAATGTTACATATAATTTCTTAAAAGCCCCACTGTGACAAATTAAGAACATTCTGACCTTGTTGACTGCTAGGAAAAAAGAAGACACTGTGCCAGACAGCAATGCAATCTGCTACCGTGTACTGATACCTCAAAATCCAGTTCACCCTCTTCACCAAACTCAAACACAGCAGTGCGTTTAGTTTGTACCTGAAGCCGGGGATCATCTTGGCAAAGCCTATGACCTTCTGGATGCTGTAGGAAACCAGATCAGCCAGGTGTGGCAGCATGGACAGCTTTGTGTCGTCCTCACTGGAATCTGGACTGCTAGCTCCATCCTGGTACATCATTAACAGGTTGCTTAAGTTCATCTTGGTGTCCACTGACTCTATTCAAGGAGGCGATTAGGAGACAAGATGAGTCCAGAGGAAGAAAGCAATTTCAAGGGAGGGGCAGACTAATAAACTGTTCATTCTTTTTCTCAATATAACTAGTTTATTTATCATTTTCATTAGCTTCTACTATGGTGACTTTTGTTCCTTGTGTAGACTATGAAGCTAAAATTAGCAATATAAGAAAAGACCCTATTTTCAAAATTGCACCAATCACTGTGCATCCTAGCTAACACAGTGGGTTGGATATCTGACTCCGCAAACTATTTCATGGTAGTTAAGAGCAAAGGTCCTAGCAATTAATACAAAACACAATTCATTTAATTTCATGAGTTTAACAAGTATGCGTACGTGCATGTGCGCTTGTTTTTCCACTATGGAACCTTACTGAGTAAAAGAGTAATGGGCTTGGCACAATAAAACACGAGTATGAAAGCAGAATCAGACAGCAGGCTCAGAGTAACTGCATCTTGTATCTTTTAACCAATAGATCTCTTCACAATTGTGTCCTTGGTAAAGTGAACCCTGAAGCATAAAAGCAAACAAGGACTCTTTATGCATCTCACCAGGTGAATGGTTGAATGAGTCAGAGGAGGCATCAGACAGAGAATGAAGGGAGGCAGCTCTGCTGGCACTGCGTGTTACTGGGCCTTCACGCACTGGAGGCTGCAAATACACAAAGAAATACAATTAAAATTACAGCTGCAAGCGGCATCGGGCAGGCACTTAATGACACGCGTTGGGGCTTCCTGTTGCCAGTAGGTGGTGCAACCACTAAAAATGAATATTGGCGTGTAGATGTGTTCAGGGCAGGACAATTATCAAGCACATAAAGTTTGGTACAGATTTGAGCATGTACTGTATCACAGCGAAGCGTGTATCTTGGCTGCCACGTCATGGATACACCATTGAAGGAAAACTCACACGCTTTACAACATGACGTCATCAATGTGTTAGTGGTTTTCTGAGATAGTTTTGAAGTACAAGAAGAAGAAGTGGTTCATCAGAGCATAAAAGTAGTCACTTCCAGCAGGTGGCGCTATGAGTATGTGTGAATTTTGGCTTGTGGATGTGTTCAGGGCGGGACACTTATCAAACATGTAAAGTTTGGTGCAGATGTGAGCATGTTCACTGAAATAATAACTTCCTGTTTTGTGGCGAATGGTCACTGTGATGCACGACGGAGTGTGCTGCGGGTGCCATGTAGCGGCCGGAAGTCGGGAGACACGCCCCGAATTCTTACATGTTTACACGGTCACAAAGGAATTAAACGTCACTTCCTGTGTCCCCTATGTGGCGCTAGAAACACCCCCTATTTATATATTGTGTACCAGTATGTGAAGTGCTAACAACTTTGTGATAATTTCTGTAATGCCACGCAATTTCTTGCACTTGTGGCGCCCCCCTAGTGACCTATGTATATGAAACTGTCTGGGTATATCTGGGGCACTTATTTGAACATCCTGCAACATGCTGATTTGTGTTTGTGATTTATGTCCAGAGCCCTGCCTCTATCGAAGTTACAGTGAGAAAACAGGGCTAACCATTTAATGAAATGGTGATCTATTTATTAGCTATCGCTAGAAAGGGAAGTGCATGGATGCTTAAAGGCAAGGGCTCCGAACTGGAGATCGCTGTGCTGGTATGGCTTTGATAGGGGGTCATAGAACGTCGGCTATAAAACTTAGAACCTGCTTACGGAAATGAGGCTTCTGATTTCATGTTTGCCGTCTAGATGGCTCTCTGCAATGATCCGGCCGTCCGATTTTTCAAATAAGTGGACCGGATTAAAAGTGTGCCTTAAAACACATCAGTAATAAAAAGTGTCCTAAAACTATGGTGTAAGCAAAATAAATGTCACTTTGGGAGAGGAGTTTTCAGCCCACAAACAAAAGTCGTGCTGCTGTAAGTTAAGGTGTAACGTAATGATTTGAAAAATTGCTGGTGGAGCAGCACTTGGCAATGTTAGTGGTGGCAGTCACATCTAATAGCTGACAGCTGTCACGCATTTAATTTAGGAAATGCACATTCTGGTTATTATTTGTTGTCTTGCACACCGGCTCAAATTCCCGTGAGCTGGAATGAGCTAGAAACATGTGATGTGCATGTGCTTCAATAGAAATATGAACCCAATCAGTCTCATGGCGGCACTGTAAATAAGGCTTAAAAATGCAAGCTTTGAAAGGCCACGTCCCTCATGCCTACAAAAAAGGCTCATGGACTATTAAGGTCCCCCTAGAAAATTTTTCAGCCATTTTGAATTTTTTGAAAAACACATTTTTGACATCTCCTAGACCGTAGCTCTGATCTCAATTACTTTTCAATATATCGAATATATACAGTGAGGAAAATAAGTATTTGAACACCCTGCTATTTTGCAAGTTCTCCCACTTAGAAATCATGGAGGGGTCTGAAATTGTCATCATAGGTGCATGTCCACTGTGAGAGACACAATCAAAAAAAAAAATCCAGAAATCACAATGTATGATTTTTTAACTATTTATTTGTATGATACAGCTGCAAATAAGTATTTGAACACCTGTCTATCAGCTAGAATTCTGACTGTCAAAGACCTGTTAGTCTGCCTTCAAAATGTCCACCTCCACTCCATTTATTATCCTAAATTAGATGCACCTGTTTGAGGTCGTTAGCTGCATAAAGACACCTGTCCAGCCCATACAATCAGTAAGAATCCAACTACTAACATGGCCAAGACCAAAGAGCTGTCCAAAGACACTAGAGACAAAGTTGTAAACCTCCACAAGGCTGGAAACGGCTACGGGGAAATTGCCAAGCAGCTTGGTGAAAAAAGGTCCACTGTTGGAGCAATCATTAGAAAATGGAAGAAGCTAAACATGACCGTCAATCTCCCTCGGACTGGGGCTCCATGCAAGATCTCACCTCGTGGGGTCTCAATGATCCTAAGAAAGGTGAGAAATCAGCCCAGAACTACACGGGAGGAGCTGGTCAATGACCTGAAAGGAGCTGGGACCACCGTTTCCAAGGTTACTGTTGGTAATACACTAAGACGTCATGGTTTGAAATCATGCATGGCTGTACTGGCCTTCTTTGCTCACCAGCCACCACCTCCCTCTGTCGAAGACAACAAAATGATAACAATGCCTGATGTGACCGGTCAGCACAGCGAGCTGCTGAAAAAGGCAAATAAAAAGATATCTCACCTTAAGGAGGACATCCGTTCTCAAAAAAACAGCTGAGCTCAACCCATCAGGAGACCGCCCTATGGGACCCATCCATCGGTCATCGGCCCTCCCGCTCAACCCCAAACCAAGGGTCAACATGGGCTGAGGTTGTGATCAGGGGCTGCAAGAAAAGCTCAAAAGTGTCCGACTCTCCCCCTTGCTTGAGCCTCTCCAACCGCTATGCTGCATTGGCTGTTTCAAACCCGGTCCACCCAGCTGATCCCTCTGTGCCTCCTCCTGTCCCTGTCCAAGATCCATCCACACCGTCTGCCAAACCTGCAGCCTCCTCCCCAACGGTGGCTGAAAACACTGATACTGAACGGGTGGTTCGGGATCCCACCAGAGAACAATCTCAGCGACATTCTTCCTCAACTTTAATCTCCTCCGCCCGGCGCAGGATTCTAAAGGAGGCCGTGCTCCAATGCTTTGGTGGACCACCTCGCCCCGGACCCGGCGGGAAATCCCTTTTTCCAGCCCTGATGCAACTGGCTCAACAACCTCCTCCGCACGAGTTTGCAGTACCATCTGTGCCCCTCCGAGCTCTCTCATCATCCCTCTCCTCGCCCCCTTTTCACCCCTACCACTCTGATAGTGGGCGATAGTATTATCAGAACTACACAAACTACCAGAACTGCTGCAGTCACTCCCATCCTCCACAAACTTGGTGATTGTCCATATTGGCCATAATGATACAGCTCGTCTGGAATCTGAGCAGGCAAAAAATGATTTTATTTAACTTTTTAGCCTTATAAAAGTTGTGGTAAACCTGTTTTTATCAGGGGTCCCTTACCAACTCTGTCCCATGACTCAGAGCGCTTTAGGAGACTTCTCAGTGTCAACATCTGGCTGCAGTCTACCTGCAATGCTCACAACTGCTCACCTATTTTCATACCACTTCTCCATGAGAAACTGCATCCCCTTAATGTGGTCACAACGTACTTCCTCACCACATCATCACAACAATTCACACGTAAATGTCTTCAACCTCTGTCCTCTCCCGCAGTCCTCCCAACAAATCCCAAAACAACCTGAAAATGGCCCTGCTCAACACTTAAGTAATTAATTAAGTAATAAAACTCTCATCCTGAACGAATTCATCACGGACAATAAACTGGACTTCCTCTGCATCATGGAAACCTGGCACAAACCTCTGGATTACTTGTCACTAAACCAGATCACACCCACAGGATTTACCCATGCAGAAAAACCATGCATGGAGGGACAGGGAGGTGGTGTGGCCAGGGTCTACAGGAAGGACATCAAAGTAACCACTATCTCCACCCCAGCTGTCTTGTCGTTTGAACATCTTGGTCATCATCTCACATTATCTGGTCCCACTTCCCTTGTCACCGCATTATCTACCGCCCTGCATTATCTACCGCCCTGCCCCAAGCCAAACACCTTTCTCAAATCTGCCACTGAATTTCTGGAACTGTTACACTGCTTCAACTACACACAGTATATCTACTTCCCCGCCCACTCCGAGGGTCACATCCTCGATCTGGTCTGCTCCACTAGTCTCACATTAAATCGCATTTCAAGCATTAACCTCCATATCTCATTATGGCATCTTTGCGTGCGGTGTTTGTAATCAGTGGTTGGAGGACAGATGACACAAACGTGTCGCATTTTCACCTGCAACCTTTTTATACACAGTCTGCAACATGCATTTTACTGACGGCCGTTTCACCGATGCATTGCCGGAGGATTTGTTATCAGAAGTCTGGAGCTGAGTGATGCCATCAGCGTTACTGAAATGGTGAGTTGTGCACTCAAATGATTTATTCACACTAGCGAACTAATGTTGGTTGACGAAGTAAAAACGTTTATTAATTAACATGACGTGTTGTCTGTGTGTGAGTGAGTATTACATCCTAATAATTAATTAATTTCAATTCATGAGGCAGGTTTGATTCCAGCCATGGGCTCTGTGCGGAGTTTGTATGTTCTTCCTGTGTTCATGTGTGTTTCACTGTATAATGTGATATTTCTAAATGCGCACTGAGTTTTGTAGATGTGTAAGTTCATTAGTTTTATAAAGGGAGCACTCATGGCTTTGGCCAAGCAAGAGGCAAAGAAGTGACAAGAGCAGCTGCACAATCATAGGTTATAGCTACTCTGTCACATCCAGATCAGTCCCCACACGACTCAAAGTTGCAGCTGTCACCCTCATCCTCAAGAAACCTGGTCTCAACCGACATCATGTCCAACTTCCAACCCATCTCCAATCTCCCCTTCCTGTGTAAAATTCTGGAATGTGTTGTCACTGCTCAAATTCAAAACCACCTCACCTCTAACAACCAGTTTGAACCATTTCAATCTGGATTCCACTCACAACACAGCACTGAAACAGCCCTCCTTAAAGTAACCACTGACCTCCTCCTCTCCTCTGACTCCGGTTACCTCACCGTCCTTTTCATGCTCGACCTCATGCAGCCTTCGACACCACCACTCCACTCTGACCAACTGCCTCTCAAACCTGGATGCAAACCAACTTCCTACAACTCAATTACAATGAATCTGACATGATCATCATCGGCCCCAAGTCACTCACAAAAACACCAACAACTTCAGTCCCCATCCCCACACATCTGCAACCTTGGAGTCACCTTTGACAGCAACCTCACTTTTGAACACCACATCAACCATGTCACCAGGACTGCCTTCTTCCACCTCAAAAACATTGCCCGTCTACGCCCATCACTTACGTTTCTCTGCTTGATCCACGCCTTCATTACATCAAGAATTGACTACTGCAATAGCATCCTCAATGGTTCATCTGCCAAAGCCCTAAATAAACTTCAATACATCCACAACTCTGCTGCCTGCCTCCTCACCGATGACCACATCACCCCCGTCCTCATGAATATTCACTCCATGTTCCTGAGATTAAAAATATACATCATGTGTCCACACCAAACAGGAAGGATAATTTAGCAAGTTAAAGAATTGGTGACAGGGAGAGAACTCATGCGGCAGTTACAACAGGGAGTAAATGAGACCACGACTTTGAGTGACCTATCAATTAAGGTTCAGATCTAAAAAACTAAACCTCCACTGAGCAAGATTTTGTCATTTTGAGAGTAAAATGGCATATGGCTACATTTTGATGCCTTTTTTGTGCTTATGGAGATAAATATATACGATTGGCAGCAGTTCACAAAAAAAATTCTAGTCTACCAAATCCTACTCTCTACATTCTAGGTGGTGACACCTGACCACCTGATAAAATCGCCTAAAAGCTGTGAACCCCTTCACTTTGGAAGGGCACATCTACTAAACTAAACATATTTTCAACTTTGAAAGATCAACATCATTTCTGCCACTTATAGCTCAAACGGAGTCTTTAGCTGCACATATGCTGGACCATTTAGCTATTAAAGTTGAGTAGGTTGGAAGAAAGTTGAGTCTCTGCTCCCATTAAAACCCATTCATTTTTTTCACATAAAATATTAATATAAAATCAACCATTACAGATATCAACAATAAAAAGGAATAGCACTCATCTAGATAGATGCCAAAAATGGGGATATATATAATAAATAATTAATGACGAGCAAAGACAACTAAAGTGTGTGAGCCACAGCTCTTACACTAAAGTAGTTTAGTTTCTCACAGCCTACACAGGCAACATAACAGCTTGTGTTTTACCTGTTCTACACTTTTTTGTTAGTGTAACAATAGGCAGCTCGGCTGTGCAGTGAGTAAAACTCACTCTCCAATGCCTTAAGAGATGCACTAACAACAGATGCTAGGGCCCATGGTTTTTAGCCTCATCACTAGCGTGTCTGCCTCTCTCGTACCATGGCCACAAAGTCCAGACTATGCAGTACAACCTCGGGGGCAGTTACATTTGTTTGAACTTCTGTAGTTATTTTTCCTCCGAATAATTAATGGACGATAATAATGGTAGTAGTACACTGTGCTGTATGTAATTTGTGTTGATTTGTCTTTTTAATGGAAAATGTCTTCCTTCTGTTGCATGACATCATGACCCGTTGGTAATGTACTAACCCTGAAGCGTGAGAAGTCAGAATAGGAGGCATCGTAGGTCTTGTGGTGAGCTTCCACCAGGGACGAGATGATCCGGGCCTGCTCCTCATTCAGCCGTGGCCGCATCGCCTCCCGGGCAGCCTCCTCCTCTTTCCTCTTCAATATCATTTCCTTCTTCCTCTGAACCTCTTCGTCTGTCAGGATGACTGAAATGGAGAATATGTTAAAATACTTGATGAAAAAATTCATCAGTGCACACAGATTCACAAATACTGATGTCAAAGCTGCACAAAGAAAAAAAATGAGGAACAAAAAACAGCAAAGAAATCAGCAAAGATATGCACTAAACACCTCTGATCACATGCCTTCCTCATACTTATGACTTGCATTCATGTTGGTATTTTGTAATGACATTTACTTTTTGAATCTATCCAAAAATAACCAAAAGACAACAAGTCATGGCAAGTTAATTAAGACGTAACATTAACATCCCCAGTATCACTATGTTGTTACTGATCTTGGCTCCTCTCACTGCGTCTAAATTATATATACTTATATGACTTTAGGGGGGCGTTCCATATCGGTTATTTTATGGTCACATAGCAATGTTACAAATAGGACATTTGGGACATAAGCAGAACATTCCCATATGGTCCTCTGTTGGCCATATGACAATGTTTCATAACAAACGTATTCACAACATTCCAATATGTTTTCCCTGTTGTCATTGTGTCATGATTGCCTTTCTCTGCTTTGTGTTTTAACCTTCTGGTTTCTTCTTCTTCTAGTTTTGTTTTTTGTGGGTTTAGTATGTTATCTCTGCCTGTTTTGTTGTTTATTTTATTGTGGTCTGTATGTTCGGTGTTTTTTACCCAGTTTTCTGTCTGTTCCCATGTCTGGTTTTTATTGGGCTGTTTTGGGTCTGGTTGTGACCCAGCTAGAAACTTTACGTTCCCAGAACGTTCTGAGAATGTGTCAAGAACGTCGCCTGAAAACGATCCCAGAACGTTCTCAGATGGTCATGATGTAGAGTTCTTTTAAGGGGGACATTTGGCAAACTTTTTAATAAAACAGGATTGACACCAGTAAATACTTTCTAAAAGGGTAGCAACCCAAACTGCAGGAATGAGATTTTTGGTGATGCAGGATTTTTTATACATAAGTTTTGGCTTTAGAATCCTCAAATCACATTTCCAGCCCAGTCATCTTATATGTAAACTACAGATATGCTAATGGAAGTGGCTAAATGATTTCAAATTAAATTCCACATTAACTGAATATGCATATACAGTATCTCACAAAAGTCAGTACACCCCTCACATTTTTGTAAATATTTGATTATATCTTTTCATGTGACAACACGGAAGAAATGACACTTTGCTGCAATGTAAAGTAGTGAGTGTAGATTTGCTGTCCCCTCAAAATAACACATCACACAGCCATTAATGGCTAAACCACTGGCAACAAAAGTGAGTACACCCAAATTGGGCCCAGTTAGCCATTTTCCCACTCGTTAGTGTTACAAGGTCTCAGGTGTGAACGGGGAGCAGGTGTGTTAAATTTGGTGTTATCGCTCTCACACTCCCTCATACTGGTCACTGGAAGTTCAACATGGCACCTCATGGCAGAGAACTCGCTGAGGATCTGAAAAAAGAATTGTTGCTCTACATAAAGACGGCCTAGGCTATAAGAAGACTGCCAAGACCCTGAAACTGAGCTGCAGCATGGTGGCCAAGACCATACAGCGGTTAAACAGGACAGCTTCCCCTCAGAACAGGCCATGGTCGACCCCAGAAGTTGAGTGCACATGCTCAGCGTCATATCCAGAGGTTGTCTTTGGGAAATAGATGTATGAGTGCTGCCAGCATTGCTGCAGAGTTTGAAGGGGTGGGGGGGTCAGTGCTCAATCTGACAATGCTAAGGGTAAGGGATAAAATATGTTATTAGGCAGGTAGGTAGGTTTCTTGTCAAAATATAACAAGTTATAGAGTGAAATTGTGTTTTGTAACTCCCTTCTGCTACACAGTAGACAAAATATATTAATACAGAATCAATTATTAAAAAAAAACTTGTAAACGGAAATAAACTATAATCAGTGGAGCTGAATAGAGTCCATATAAGTTAAACTCTATTCCTTGTTCTCACTGCATGCGCCTGCTGCACTGCAGCGACCCCCAGACCCCCAGATTTTGCAAGCGCAAGTTATGCATACCCTGGGGGCTAAGCCCCCTCTGTGTTTCAATCATAGTGACGTCCCTGGTGCTCAACGTCTGATTTTACATAGAACTACCAGTTTTCTCCCAATAAGTTAATGTACAGCCTATTACAATATACATGTCCACGTTTAATGCTGTAAATAAACATGTAAAAAGAATAAAACTTTCAATAAATGTTTTTAAAGTGCGTAAATAAATCCAAAACTAACCCTGGGTCGTCAGTGCGCATGTGTAGGCGTAGCGTGTATGTGTGTAGTGGCAGAGGAGGAACACTTGCTGAAGAGACGGAGCCCCGGCTTCACTTGTGTTGTGCTGAGTTGGTCGCACCTCGCGGGACTTTCGGATAATTTATCACCGTTGATGAACCACACAAAGAATATTTTATCGTTTTTAAATAGCCAACTACTTGAAATAGACCCGCGAGGAACCGCACGACATGTAAGCTGTTGTCGGCAGCACAGAATGCACGGTGAATGACAGGCAAGAGAGAGAGAGAAAAGGGTCTTCAAAAAGCCTCAGTTTAGTTGGAAATTTACAGTGCAAGTTGAATGAATAGAGACTGCAGCTCTGCAGCTTCTTAAGATTAAAGCAGAGCTACCGTGTGTAACCCCCCCCCCCAATGCTCGCAATCGCTGCGCAAAAAAACACACAGATGATTCGACTATCTGTCAACTACAGGCAGGACTTGACAATTCTGTTTCGACTATGTAAATACTTCATCGGAGACAGCCCGATATCCACGCGCTGTCGGCTTCTGCTAAATAATACGTGTACTCCTCCATTTATCCAAATTTCACTTCTCTTCTTACTCCTAATAAACCAGATGACTATTCAGAGACTGCATATTATTATTTCCTTTTCTTCTTCTATGTACGCATTCAACGTAGTAACAGACGTCTAAACTGCATGACAAATGAATGAAAAAGAACACAGTGGTGATAAAGCACGCTCTGTTGCGCTGTTTGTGCGTTGTCAACTACTGTAGAAACCTAATGACACAATATGGCAACCTCCATGGAAGGGGGGTTACATATAGAAATGGCTCATTCTAAGGTAATGAAAACATAACGGTTCATTATGTAATGTTTTTACACACCACTGAAAACAAAGTTATGGATATTATATTGCATTTCTGTCAATAAATCCTCAGAAATATTAAACACTGAACCTTTAAGTGTACAAGCTCACGTCTGTACCAAACTTTACATGTTTGATAAGGCTCCCACCCTGAACATATCTTCATGCCAATATACAGTCATAGTCACAGCGCCACCTACTGACAACAGAAAGTGACTACTTTTATGCTGTGACGTTCTATTTCTATCACGTTGGCCACATCCACTTAAAAACTGTCTCAAAAAAGCCTTAAGACATCGATGATGCTATGCTGTGAAGCTTGTGAGTTTCCATTTACCAAACTTTATATGCTTGATAACAGATCCGTCCTGAAGTCATTTACATGACAATATTAAGTTATAGTCATAGCGCCAGCTACTGGCAATAGGAAGTAAACTCTATGTGACAATCATCACTCAATTTACATCCACATTACTTTTCACATTGTGTTACACACTTCACATACTGGGACATAACATATAATTAGCAGGTGTTCTCTAGTGCCACATAAGGGCGTTTAGGTCCTTCGTGCAGTGTCCAAAGCGTGTGACAATTTAGAGCCATGTCAACTGAGCTGTGGCCATGGCACGCCCCAATGCGCGTCACGGTGCCAGGGGCTCATCCAACGCTGCTTGCAGCTTTAATTAGTATTCTTGTCATCCAGGCCTGAAGCCTGGCTCTGTGAGACACTGTAGTCACTGCTGATAATGCACTGACCCCGAATGTCTCGGCCAATATGATCCTTTTGACTCTCTGCCACAGTGACCGATTACCTATGAAGCAGTCAACTGTGCAGACAAAGAGCATGACTGCCAGACAGACTGCGACTGCCAAAGAGAGACCGGCCCAGAGCCATGAGGTCAAAACATGCGCACATACAACGCCAAGTTAGACCTTGTAGCAGCTAAAGAGACACTGTTTCACTATTGATACTTTACTGATAATAAATTTAGCTTTATCAAATGCTATTTGTTTGGGTTAAAAATGTCTTTGTTTTATCCTTTGTAGACTGTAGCAACCTCCTCTAAATTAGCTTTTAACTGGTTGAACTTTTCTATCTGTTAATACAGACACTTCTGAATATTTTATGTTAACTTGTTATCTATTCCTAAAATGTCAATAAAATATGTTGTCATGTGGCAAGTTAATATTCAAAGGAATAAATACATACTTTACAGTAACTACTAATTTAAGAGACTGATGGGTTGGCATGGATGACTCTAAATTAAATAGTGTTGAGATCATGCACTTCATACTAAATACTGGTTGTTTTCCTGGAAGCTGTAAACAACTACATTTGAAGTGGATTTTCAGTGATTGCACCCTGTATTGCAACCACAAAAGCAGTGTGGCATAATGTTAACCGCATTATGTGGTGATGCAGACAACAACAACAACAGTTTGTCTACAAGGGCTTAAAAAAGCAACTGAATAAATCTGACTGCTTAGCTAACCAAAGGATTTACTTGGCTTTCATCTCTTTTAACCCACCGCCATTAATTAGCCTTTGGCTGCACTCCAATGTCCACCCAGTCCACAGTCAGGAGTGGACTGCCCATAACCACTCCTTGTGGTGAGCACATCCAAGTATGGAGCATGAGACACAATCATGAATAGGCACAGTTTAGTCAAAGTTTGGCAAAGGCCGTCAAAGCAGCTATTCTAAGGCTTGGACATGATTGGAACAGTCAGTCTCCAGCCGAGTTTGAGCCCTGGATGGCATCATTAAGTCAGGAGTCCACAAAAAACAACAGACCATAAAAGGAACATCTTGACCACCCCACAGCGCTTGGCAGACACACAGCAGTATACCAAAAGAAAGTTTGCTGTTTGCAAAGCGATTAACTGGATGTGGTGATGTGGTGCCCTGCATG